CTTTCTAGGGTCACAAGTGAGTTGACTATAGAAGTTGGAAATAAGAATCTTAAACTCTTACAGTACATAACACGAAGATCTGTCAAATTTTGGAAGACACAAATTCTTTTTGGAACCATCCTTGTAATGTGTACCAATTTTGGTAGGAAGTTGAGATGCAATACTGTTAATCGACCAAGCATATTAATTTCTGCATCATCATTAGTGACTTTTATACCCTCAAAGTCCAACAATACCTTAAGTGCATAACAGCTGGACACATAAAATCCTGCAAGATTTTGCAGTAACTGAATTGAATCAGATTCTGCAACGGTCAGCAATTCTTTACAAATTGACACACGCAGAAATCTTAGTTTATGCAGAGATGTTATTGGCGTTTCCTTGCCTAGTAGCTTTACAATACAATCCAACTTAACAACAGCCAAAATATGCATGTTAGGCAACGTAACCTGCAAATTCAATCAATTGTAGTCAGCCTAAATGAATTGCGGAAAGCTGGGTCATTCTATAGAAATTGTATCTGTTGATTCGTTTATATTACAAGACACATTTATTGTGCTGTTTACAAAATCATCTAGCCCAATACAAATAAATTTAAATTGACTGATGTTCTCTTTTCTTTATTACCTAATTTAATCTCAAAAATTTGGCTCCAAAATTTACGTGAGTCTTTTTATTTCTAAGTTTGTATGGTTAATGATTGGAAAATCACCGAGATTTTCTATTCTCTCATTTCTTAATTAAGACCACGGTTCTACAAAACATTTTTCTAATTTTGTATGTATTTGATTTGAATCATGAAAAGCTATAATTATTGACTTAGAAATTTATAATAAAACATAATCTATAAGTTAATTTTGTGCATGAGGTGCTACAACCGTACTATTTCCCCTAATATTAGCCCATGTTTGGTTCAATTAAAAAAGTTGATTAAAATTTCAGTAATTAATTTTAACTATATATTTCATGAGACCTATGATCATCCAAATATTTTATAGGATCCACAATTCTTAACCATTTATTCCATTGACATTTATCAAAATCTACTAAAAGGAAAGTTGAATAACATACCTGGTTGAACAATGCTCGACTAACAACATCGCTATTTGATTGAGATGTGAAGCTCTTAAATCTACTCAAAGAATTTAGATGGACTTCTTTCAGTTTTGGAAACTCAAGCATTTCGCTAGTTTTGGCAACCTTATTTTCTCGCACGTCCATTGAAACGACTTCCTCTAACATCGGACATGATGATATGTCTAGTCTTTGGAGATTTACCAAGCATTTTGCAACTGACTCTTGAAACAAGCTTGTAATTGCATCACAAAAGTGGATATCAACCGTCACGAGGTTATAGAACAATGGTTGTTCGAGGACAACCCTTGGAAGATTTCCATTGTATATCTTTATTAACTTGGGTAAACGTTCCAATTTGAGAGTCTCCAGTTTACCGAAGTTGCCATTTGGAATAGTGTTGGTGGCATCAATAAGATACTCAAAATCGCCTCGTGATAGAAACAGACTCTTCAAGTTAATGAAATTATTTCCATCTAACTCACTCACAAGATTCTTCAATACCTTGTTTGCTTCAATCCGAAGATGATAAGTCCTCTTCATCAACGAGGTAAATGCTGGTTCCAAAAGCATACTTGCATCAATACCGTCTTCGAGACTCAAGCTCCTTGTCAAATATTGATTTTCAAAATCGCCTCGTGGTGTTGTGGTTACGAGGATTTGAAATTTTTTCAAATTCTCGAGGAACGGTACTTTTAGTAGTTGCATCAGAATCGGAGTAAGTGTGGAAATTTGAAAAGTATGAACAGAAGTCAATGAATATAACTCTTCAATTATGTACTTCTGGTCTTCTCCTTCTATTGGAATGCTATCTCCCAAATATAGCTCTTCAAGTTTCTTCATACCTGACAAAACACCAGGCCGAAGTGGACAAGATATCTCCTGAAACCTTAAGTCAAGTGACCTTAGGTTGCTAAGATTCGCTAATTCAATGGGAAAACAATCACGGAAATGAGACAAATAGAAAGAGAGAATTTCCAACTTCTTTAGACTCCCAATTATTGACAATTGAGAATGTATTCCACACTCAATCAAGCACAAAGTTCGAAGACCCGTTAACAATTGAATTGATGATGGAATTTGAATGTTCATCAAATTCAATTCAAGAACTTTGAGTTCCTTCATATCTTCAAAAAATTCTTCGACAATGTTACATTCTCCCAACCAGCGACATATCACCCGTAGCAACTTAGCGTTTCGATGTTTCAACCCGCTGTGAAGTTGATCCAGCTTATCAAACGTAATTGAGATAGCACTGCACGAGTTATCAGTATCATGTTCTGGCCACTCTTTCAAACCAGTGTGGTCTACCAGATATCCACATTTGTCTTTAGTTGCCATCTTTAAGCAAAAATCTCTGATAACATCATGCAATTTTACCTCGTCTTCCCCCTCACCCAGTTGCAATAAATAACAACCTTTTAGTTTATCGGCAACTGTCTTAGCTCGATCTTGGGCTTGGGAGAGTGTTTCAGTATTTTGAAACAACTCTAGCCCCCTTGCATAGCGAACCAAATTTTCAATTGGAATTCTTTCATCCTCAGCAAATAGAGAACAGAGCAAAAGCAAATCCCGCTCTTCATTACTTTCCAGATAGTTGTAGCTCAGTCTTATACTCTTGTACACGATATTCTCCATTATGTTAAGATTGGTAACACAAGACTGTAGCTGTAGAAGTGTATCTCTCCATTTATACGTGGCCTTATTGCTTTTCAGTGCTTTCCCAACAACCACTAGGGCAAGAGGTAGACCTCGACATTCTTTTGCAACTTTTTTGGCCACACTTAAGAGTTCGTTATCAGTTTCATCATCAGAAATCCCTGACGTATCCTTGAAAAGTTGCCAGCCTTCTTTTTCGTCCAAAAATTTGATTTCCAATTTTCGTTGGGCTTCCATTTTACCACACGTTTCTTCAATTCGCGTCGTAAACATAATTTTCAACCCTTTACGATCGCGTGGAGATGGAATTCCTATAGTTC